CAGAAGGAACTGCGATAGTTTTATAAAGAGCTAGCACGCCTTAAATCCTACTCTATACACGCCGACATATGAAATATGTCGGACAAAAAGGATTGTATCCTTAAAGAACTCTGTTTTGCAGCTCCTAATTCTGCATTAGTAAAAAATAAGTAAACTGACAAGCTATAAGTAGTGTGAGTTTATTATTCATGTGTGTAAAACAGTCATTTTAAATTTAAATCAGAAATAAATAAAAAAAGAATGTTATAAGAGGGTGTATGACATGTTAATCACAGAAAATAATTGCATACTTGCAGAATTAACAAGGAAAGACAAGTTGATCTGGCAGTTTAAAAGAAAATATAGAATAAGAGGTTCTCGGTGTTATGATCTTTATAAATACACTACTAAAGACACTCAAAAAAAGATCGTAAAAAACAAAGTAAACTTTGAATCATAAGTCCTTTATTTGAATACATATAGACATTTTAAAAAAATGGCTAATATAATATTTTCTTAAACACTTATGAAAAATATTTTTTTAACAAGATATTTATTATATTATATGCTGTCTTAAATTGATATTTTTATAGATTTGTTCTACATTGAAATGAGCAAGAAGGTGTGAGGCTCGACAGGCATACATTAATGCAACTTATGGCATTATTGTAGATAAACATATAAAAATAATAAACAATAAAGGTGTACCCATAAAATTATTAAAAATCAAATGTCCATTTACAGGTTTGTTGTTCTGTACATTATTTTTATAAAAATATCAAGAATTAAGATGCATTACTTTTTTAAAAATATGTTTTACTTAATTTTATTTAGGTATCTAGATATATACATATGTTTAAAGAATTATGCATTTTTTGTTACATTATCAAATACTTAAACACTCTTCAAAATCGTACAGTTTAGGAAAGCAGAATTTTACAAATCATGTAAATATATGACTATAAATGAGATGAATAAAGTTATTTTAAAGAAAAAAACACCAATATTATGGTCAAATTCAACTGGGCATGGCCGTTTTGAATTTGCAAGAATGTGATTTTTTTTACATTATATTCCAGCAAATTTAAAAATGTTAAATTTGATAATGAGTTTACCTCAAGCATGTTATAACAAAGTTACAAAATCTATATTTTGACCAGATATGTTACCCCAAATTTGTGAAATAAAGAACAATTACAATATAAACGTATTTTTATTTTTATTTTTTTTTTAATTTGGTGTCATCTGCATCGACTACCAAGGTCATTAGCCTCGTGTTCTGTGTAGGCTCTGTTACTGTTTCCAAGCGCCACTTTGGGAACAGCACTGTTAATTAGAACCCAATTTTTTTTTAGTACAAAAATATAAATACATAATCAAATAAACTTTCAAAAAATATTTTTTTATAATAGGGATAAAAAAAATAAAACAATCAAAATATTTTCAAATGTAAGGTATTTTTTAATTGCACATCGTTTCTATATAAGATGTTTATACAAAATTGTTTAGATCTCTTAAAATGTTTTCTTTTTCAAAATACATAAACAAGTTCCTGTCTTGAAGTAAATATTCAGATAATTATTTTTTTTAATTAAATTCCTACTTTAATGAAATATGAGTTTTAAACTCATTTGGGCCAGACCGACTCTGCCTGGTGAATAAATAAGCTGTCTATATTGAATCGCGAATATATGTCATTGTGTCAGAGACGTAGATGATGTGTAAAAGATATATTTATACAATGGTAAAAGTGGTATTTATTCTCTATTATCGATAAAACGGTGAGTCGTATAAATTATTTGAAGAAACTTGCAACTTGACGAATGTTAATAAAAACTATAATTCTTTCTACTGAATGTAGGCAACACTTTTAACTATTAGTTTTGTAAAATCGATTACTATTTAAAGCTGTATGAATCGATTACTTGCAATCGAAAACAATGCACCTGTAGCGCGAATACCTGTGGCAACAATTAGAGATGAGCTTAGCTGGGACTTTCGGATCGCCGGTCTACGTAACGATGAATCTTAATGGTTACCCGCAGTGATTTTAGGTCTGTTCTGGTTCTTCAGAAATATGTTGAAAACTATCCGAGTGCTAGATGACCAGTAGAAAGTTGAAAAGTTTTACGTGACGCATAATTTTATATTCAAACTGTTCAACTGATTCTCAACGGTTTACAGTACATTTTGAAGAAACCAGAACAAGCCTTTTGTTATTCTCGGCGGCCGGCGTAATTATCTATGGTTATATTGGTTATAGGGATTGTAGTTCCACCAGCCATGTATTCTCGACGTTCTTACTTGTTTCTTGTTATTCTCACCGTTATTCCAGGCATGCTAAAAAATTAATCCTGCTCAAAATGTTAATTTATCATTTTGTAGCCATTATTTGTAATTATACTAAAAAGTTTGTTTCAAAATATTATTGCATGATTATAAATAATGAGTTATTCTTTTGAACCGAACAACATTTTTCTCAAGAATAAACAAAAATAAAGTTTCATTACTGCGGTACGGTAACTCCTAGCTTCAGTTTACCGGTGAAAAATAACGGATGTTGAAATATCGCTTATCTCTAGCGACAAAGAAATGTGGCAAAGAACAATGACATATATAGATTAATAGACTGCTCATCCATATATAAACAAGACGACGAAAAGCGGGTCATATTGCTTGGCTTGCCAAGTGCTCACCAGGCAGAATCGGTCTGGCCCAAATGAGTTTAAAACTCATATTTCATCAAAGTAGGAATTGAATTAAAAAAAAATTATCTGTATGTTTATTTCAAGACAGGAGCTTGCGTTAGATATTTTAAAAAAGGATTTTGAGTCATAACGTCTAGTTTCCCAATTTTCAAAACATTTTAAGAGATCTAACCAATTTTGAACATAGATATAAACAATTTTACACTCATGTGTATATAATTAACTTTAGATTACGACCACTGTATAGTGGTACTATTCTTTTAAAATTTATTTCGCATTATAAAAGCAGATATTATGCAAAAATTGAATGAACTTTTTAAAGATTTTACTTAAAGTTAGTAGCTTTTTCACATTCTAAAATTTGTTCCCTTTAGACAATTAAGGATTATTTTGGCGGTGAATGTGAATGATTTGATGAATAATAATAAGATTCCACCAGTGGAAATCTGATCAACATCATAGTAAAATGAACTAGGTACAAAGTGCAATCTTAGTTGACGTCAAGATCCGTTTAGCATCGGTAAGGGGGAAAGAAAGATTCTGACTTACAATCACAAAAAGAGCGTACAACTAAGCTTAGTCGATGTAAGTTAGCTCAGATTAGTGGTAAAAAGAAAGCGACTATTAATAAAAAGAAAAGTAATCCAGCTAAAACAAGAATTATAGCTACTGTCTTTAAATAATGATATGTTGCCAGTACTAGTAGAATGTTAAGTGTTGAGTTATCTTCTTCAGGCAATGGATGTACGTATGCATAATTTAAAATGTTTGGTTAATTATTATTATGTTTAATGTGTTTTTGCAGTTAATGAACATATATCTACTACTGAAGCAGATAATGAAGATTTGTGTGCTGCTGAAGAGCTTTGCTTAATTTACAAAACTTCGTTTAAAAGCAGAAAATTGGGATCGACTGTTCAACACAAGTGAAGAGTGGTGATTTAGTTGATCCGTTTTCAAACAGAATTATCAGTGCTAAAGAACTATCTACTTTAATAGGATTGCAATCCTTCCAGTTATTAGCCACCATTGTGGAATTCGTTGTTTCTAAAGAATAGGAAAAAGGAGATCAGTTATGTCTGTAAAGGATCAAGTTATATTTACTTTTATGAAGTTGAAAACTGATATGCAAGATATAATGTCTTATCCATTTTATTTGGAGTGAATGAAACTTTTTATCATTAAATTTTTTAACATTTTTTAATAAAACTGGTAGAAGTTCTTAGTATGGTATAATTCGGCCTTCAAAACAAGAAATATTAAAATATGTGCCTCTATGTAAGTAAGAGTAAGAGTAATGTCTTTGTTGTAGGCTAAAAAATTACTCTGACTACAAAAAGAGGCATACTATTAAAATATTGACTGGAGTGTCACCTACTGGTCTTATTACTTACAAAAGTGAAGCATATGGTGGTAGAACTTCAGAAATAGACATTTTTTAACAAAGTTCAATACTTAAAGTGTGTGTATCATTTCTCGATAGTAAAATGTTTAACAAAGGTTTTCTTATTGGAAACATAACAGAAGCTGAAGGTATACAAATTATACAGCCTCCTTTCCTCAATAAAAAAAATCAGTTCAGCCATCAAGAGGTTTTACTTAATGCCAAAATTGCCAGAGCTAGAATTCACATAGAAAGAACCTATCAAATAATAAAAGTGTTTCTCTCTGTATTGGTACTTATGTCCGTTTTTCTTCTATTTATATTGAGTTTTTATTATACGATACTTCTCTGTATCTAAATTTTAAAATGTACTTGTAAAGCCCAGATAGCTTTAACTCGGGCCTTTGAATATAATAATATTTATGTAATTGTATTTACAATAAATACTTTATTATTAATATTATTATTATAATTAATTATAATTCATAAAATTATTATAAACGTATTTACCTTGTACATACTTGTATTGATACTTTCTTGAAAAATGAAATGTTACTTTTTATATTTCTGTAGCTGGTCTTACAACCCTTTATAGAGCAATTCACCATTTAAATTTAAAAACAAAACAAGTTTTTATACTCAAATAATAAAAAAATAATTAAAAACAGAACATAAGTATAATTAAAACTAAATAAAATAAACAATTCAACAAAATGTCCGACTGAGTAATGACAATGAGAACAAAATCTCAACTAGACTAAACTTTCTTTAAAACCGGTCCTGTGAAAGTTTTGTTTACCAGTGAGCACTCAAAATTGAGACAAAATACAAACATTGCATGCACTAGACAAAGAGAAAACATCTCCCAGTTCGACCCGCTTTTCATCGTTTTATTTACGTATGGATAAGCAGTCTATTTAAACTATATATGTCATTGGGCAAAGAAACGTTCGCAGGTGTGAAAACCACATACCTTCCTCCATGACCACAAATGCATAAAAAATGAAAATTTGACAGAACAGAACAGAGAACGCGAGAGTGGAGAGCGGTGCAGAAATGTGGTAGATACGCTGAAGTCAATGACCAGAAGAGTAATATGTTGGTTTTTACAGTTTTGTGTCAAGTTTTTAACTGTTATATTTCTGTAAGAAATACCAGGATTAGTTTTTTTTAATCGGAATAAGCTTTTTTATTTTACTAGTTTACCCATTATGTGAATTTGTGAAGTTAGCAAAGTGAAAATGAGTGTCAACGTTGCAGTCGAGGAAAAAATAAACAGAAAAATGCATGAATTGTTTATGCAAGTTTTGAAAAATCGAGATCTCTCAAGAGCAGGAGATCTTTTTTCCATTCCGGATTCTGTTATTGTCAATGATTTAACCGTTGTGGTATGGATATTTCTATTTTATCCCGTTGTGAACAAAATGTGCAAAATGTTTAATTCACGTATTATAATTTATTCGGTTAGGTATTTGTTGAATACATTTTATGGTGCAATAAAATACTTAATCATATACGTGTGTATGTTTAATTTGCTTTTTGCATTACAAAATAATTTAAAATAACATATTTTATAAAATTGTTTAACTTTTTCACTAAAGCAATGATTTGGTTATAATTTTTTACTTGAAACTTAGTAAAACTATTCTTTATGTTCAAACAATTCAAGCTGGTCTTTTAGATTTTCTGTTGAATTTCAAGTCAAATAGAAAGTTGGGAAATGCTGTAATCAAGGCTGCAAATCTGTGTTGTGATACTACATATTACTAACTACAAAAAAACCTATTAAAATTAGTGTAAAAAAAATTTGTTTGAATGGTATTAAATTTAGTAATAGAAAAAATTACTAATAACTAACCCTCCCTGCAAAAACTCTGTTTTCTGTGGGTTCACTTGTAGGTGGGATATTATAATTTTTAAAATATATTTTAATTCATGTATAGATATAAAAAAAATTAGAAAAAAACTGTCTGGAATGAAAATAAGTCTGTTTAAATCCTACCCATTTATAGATACCTCCTAAAGAACTTATAGCCATTTAAATTAAATACAGTTTACTTTTTTTCTGGGATTTACTAATAAAATTAAAAATATTTTAAGGTTTTTGTGGTCCCAATGATATTTCAAAATATTTAGGCAGTCCAAATCTTTTGGTAATGTGTATAATATACCTAATAATTTGTAAAACTTAAGAAACAGACAAAGTGAAGATTCACTGTTGGTTGGTGTACAAGTTGATTAATAGTTCTGAAATGTCTATTTCAGTGGCTCACTCAAGGGAGGGTTTAGGAATTTTGTTTCTGTGATTATAATAAATTTCTCTTCGATAGTTAACATAATGAATAAACTACATATGGACTGAGAGTTCGTGCAAAAAAACACATTAATTGTTAATTTTAAGTATATTAATTAGGTTGCAGATCATTTTGTAAAAATGACAAATATACTTTTAAACAAGGGACAAAACTTTGTTGAACCTAATTAGGTACCTACCTAAATTTAGATGGGACAGTCCTAATTGTAAACCACTTGTAGTTATTTTGTCTCGCTAAAGTAAATACATACCTATAATAAAGTATATTCATCCTTAATAACTCAAAATAACATCAAATTTTATTTCCCAGATAAATAAATAAAAAAAATTAAGTATTCAATTTATGAATAATAAAATCTACTGCACTAATTTTTGTTTTCAGTACCTTGTATTTCCATTATGTGCAAGAATAACATCTTGACATCTAAGAATATGATTCCTAATTATAATTTGTGATATTGTATCCCATATATCAAACAGGGTAGTTTTAAGGTCATCCAGGTTATTCGGAGGGTTTTGACAGGTTGAAATTCTTCTGCCTAGTCACTTAATAATAACTTAAAGAATGAAAAATAAGCATCTAGGTGTGTCCACCTGTGTGTGCTATAGCATACAAATAAACTAAAGTATACATTTACAAAACCTGTTGTGAGGATAAAAAAAAACTTTTTATTCGAATGTGGGATGGAGGTGTACCAGTCAATTTATAAAATCTCCTTAAATAAATCATATACATACAGTAACATATATTGTTTAGCTTTAAGTTGAAATATATGTAAATTGGTTACATTTTTTATGTTTATTTGTATTTTATTAAAAATTTTGGGAACAACTGTGGTTACAAATCGTTGACTGACATCACCTTGACATGTTGGTGTCATCAAGCTGTTATTTGACTTGGCTGTTGTGTTGTGGAGATGTAGTTCTTAGATGTGGTTTTTTATCTATGAAAATACAACATAAGTATAAGTAGAGTGTTCTTATGTTTAGGATTTCATCATTGTACAGGAGAGCTGTCTGGTAAAGTGATGGTTGTTGGTAGATAATTTTGACAATGCGATTTTATATAACTCTGAGAGACTGTAAGGTTGTATCTTATAACCCCCCCCCCCCCCCCCCCCAAACAATTTTCCTATATTGAAAGATTGACTATACTAGTGATTTGTAAATAATTATTAACTGTTTGTGGTTCATAAACTTTCTCATTTGATAAAAGGAACCCGCACTTTTTACATTGATTGTGGGTACTGACAGAATTTGTTCAAATTTTAGTATGTTATGTCATGTCGTTAACGGCAACTTTCTTATGGACCGCAAGTTTGCAGCTCTACAGGGTGAGCTGTTAGAAGGAGTACAAATATGGAGTGCAGAATTAATATTTTCACATATATCTTTACCACTCTTAAGCAATTTATGTTTTCTCTATGAAACTTATGGCACGTCTTACAATAGTATATAGTTTGTTTCTGCTTACTTGCATTTTGTAAAATAAATTATACAGGGTGTTCAAAAAGTTAGGAATATCAGTTACTGAAATAAGGTAGAGCTGGGCCAAGATGAGATTGGTACAGCCACGTGCTCGACCCTGCGCGAAGGTGTGACGTCAGGGGCAGAGGCGGACGTATAGTAAATTATATTACCTCTTTTATTTTAAATTATGTATTATGATTAATTACTAACTAGGTTCTACGATGTGAATTTTATTCTAAATAAATTTCCTTTTTATAAGTGTTTATAAATAATGATAATAAAATAAGACGGTATTAAAATACTTATACAGGGTGTACTAATAAAAACTTCCAGGCCGGATATTTTGGTAAGTAATAGAGATATTTTAATTCTATAAAAGCCCGTTCACAGAGCACTAAAGGAACTTCAGTTTTATATATAAATTGATTTTAAATAGGTCAATATGTAGATGGCGCTGCGCTCAATAATTTTTTTTTTTGATAGGAGGATCATTCTTGTAACAAATGCATTTTTAAGCAGATTTTGTTCTATGAACTAATTCGATAATTCTAGCCATTTTTTATATACAGAGTGGGTCACTCAAAAGAGTTTCATCCTGTGTTTCAGCATTAATCATTGGATTTTAAGAAAATGCTAATACAGGTCGATTTTTATTTCAAATTAAAAATATTTTTACAATACAGACATCTGTCATGTGTCAACCCCCTCCCTTGCACTTCTCCAAGACCTTAATGTTAAATAGGTAATGTACCATGTATGGCACATAATTAAAAAGGTAATTTAATGTGGGATTTAGAAATATTTCTGTACATTGCGTTACTTAAATGTTATCGCCTTTTGGCAGGATAAAAAAACTACTACGTATTATATAGTGTGATATTACAATGTGAAGTACATCATTAAAAGGGTAATTTTATGGGGAATTTAGAAATATGACTGTCCATTGTGATACTTTTAATTGCATTGCCCTCTATCAGGATAAAAACTACGTATTATAAAGTGTGGCACCTTATTTGAAAGCAAATTTAATTACTAATTCAATGTACCACATAACATTAATTTATTTATTTATTTATTTATTTATTTATTTATTTATAATACAATACTCTACAGGTCATAAACCCAATTACAGAGCAGGAATTGACAGAAAATAATTATTAATAGATCACATTTTTTATATGAATGTTAAGCACATAAAAAGAACTTGTATTTCGTAATAGGTAACAAATTAACTAAGATAAAAAGTGAGATTTTAATATAAATATCCTCTATATTGCACTTGCATTAGTTTGAAAATTAGTCAGGCATTATTTTAAACATTATTACTAACTTTATTTTGTTGCAACTGCAATATGGAAATATTTATATTAATGTTATGTGGTCATTGAATTAGTAATTAATTTAGCTTTCAAATGAATTGTCACGCTTTATATTACGTTACATGTTTTTTATCCCGATAGAGAGCGCTAAAATTAAAAGTATCGCAATAAACCGTCATATTCCTGACTTCTAAATAAAATTACCTTTTCAATGATGTGCCCTATATGGTACATTCCTTACTTAAAATTAAGTGGAAGGGAGGGGGTTGAAACATGACAGATGTCTGTATTGTAAAAATGTGTTCATTTTGGAATAAAAATCGACCTGTTTTAGCATTTTCTAAAAATCCAGTGATTAATGCCGAAAAACAAGATGAAACTGTTTTGAGTGACCCACTCTGTATATCAAAAATAGCTAAATTTATCGAATTAGTCTATAGAACAAAATCTGCCTAAAAATGCATTTTTTTACTAGATGCGTCATGTAAGATCATCCCATCAAAAAAAAAAAAAATTGAGCGCAGCGCCATCTACAAACTGACCTATTTAAAATTAATTTTTATCTAAAACTGGAGCTCTCTTAGTGCTCTGTGAACCAGCTTTTACAGAATTAAAATATCTCTATTACTTACCAAAATAGCCGGCCTGGGAGTTTTTATTGGTTACAAAAATACATATAAATTGAGACACAAATCTAATTTTAGTCCGATTCTAAATCAGAGAGCTGTTGTACTCCTAAACAAACGTCACTGTCTTCATCTTATGACCAACTTTCATCCGATGATCCAGTATTCACTGTAAACCTTAAATGGTCCATTGTGGAGTCCAACAAATGTTCTTTTTTAATTTTTGTGGCTTCATATGTTGACCCACTCTTCTACTTGCAATGTCGCTATGTCGCAAACCTTGTGTTAACGATTCCACATTAACTAAAGTGAATGTGGCATTTATCACTGCTACCCAATTTTCTACAGATGCCCATATTTTTTCAATTGGGTTGAAATCAGGGTGATAGGGTGGAAGCCGAAGGACTTTGTGACCGTATGCCTCCAATAATCTGTCTAATTTATAAATTGCCGGAAATATGTATTTATTATCTTTAATAATTTTGTACAATTCCGGTTTTGTCATTCATTCCTGAAAAGGTATGTCTTTTTCTTTCGGCCATTTTGTCATGGCTAATTTGAGACTTGCTGATGTAATATTTCGTTCCACAGTTACATTGTGCCATTACAACAACAAGAACACAAACTTATATGTAAATATAAATTACAAGTCATTATAA